ATATATATTGATTAGGGATGTACCGATATTTGTTTCCAGACCAAGTACAAGTACCGATACTCACAGATTTCTTTTTTTTTTATTGTCATGTGACAGTTTTTCTTAAACGATACAGACTAATGATTTCAGGACAGTGGCGGAGGACCAGGGCCCAGTCGCAGCTGCTGAGACCCCGGTAGTTCTTGTGAAAAAGTCATGTATGACACTGAAGCAAATACTGGTATCTGAACATCCCTACAGGACAATATAGCAGAACCTCTTTTATATCCTCTTACATTATTGTATAGTCCTCCTTTGCCAAGCAGAACCCCGTTGTCTTTGCATTCTTCCCAGATGAGGCTCATCTCTTCTGCCGGCAGTGGTTTGAGTGTTTTCTAAATATAAAAAAAACCCCACAGATCACCAAAGCACCGATCACAACTGTAGCTTCGTATATATAACTTTACCTTATTTTTATTTTAGTATATTGTAGACTACATTTAGGGAAAAGCAATATATGGCCAAAGTTTGTGGACACTTAACCATCACATCTACTATATAGCCAAAAGCATGTGGACGCACTCCAAATAAATTCAGATGTTTCCAGTGAAGGGTATTGGTGATGCTACAGCAATAAAGGTATGACTGTCCCCCTGTGCATAAAGCCACCATCTCTGGTTTAATGAGTTTGGTGTGAAGGAACTCAAGTAGTCTGCACATAGCCCGGACCTCAACCCTACTGAACACCTTTGGGATAAGTTGAAATGCAGATTGTAAACCAGATCTTCTCATATAACATTAGTACCTGACCTCACAAATGCCCTTCCTATAAGAGTAGATGCTGTTATAGCCACAAAGAGGGGGTCGGCTCAGTAGCCATACAGCCTCCTTTATATACCAGTATTGAATCCATTTTGTGTTTGCTTTTCTTTAAATGTAACAATTATATTTGGTCCCTCTCATCCAGTATACAAGGCATACCAGCCTGTATGCCCTTTACCACCTGGTTAAGACTTCAAGAAAATGACCCTGAAAAAAAAGACGTATTGTCAAAACACCAAATAATTCAGCAACAGAAAACCCAGAACAAGGTTGCCTGGGAGTTAGTAGAGGGGAAGGAGTTATATGAAACCCCTCCCCCAGGTAACTAATAAAGGGGGTTGGCCAGATGACCAAATTAATATTTGGCGGAGCTTTAGGCTTTTTAATTACAGATTGTGTGCACACAGATGTTGGGGTGTAAGGGCAGAAGACACACTTATTATGCACATTGGTGGTTTATTGGGTTAATACAGCTTCAGTTATCCTCCTTCCAGCATAGTAGACCTCAGATTACATTTTTTTTAAAAAAGGGGGGGGCAGGAAGACTCTTATGTCGCTGAAAACCAATAGAAATAAGCAACAGGTAAATGCTGCTTTTCCACCCCTCAGCCCCCACAATCCACACCTCTCCTAAGAGTTCACCTCCGAGGACAAGCAGAATACAGCCTGGTGCCACCGATCAGTAGCATAGGATGTTTGACCAAGCTAAGCTGCTGTATCTAGGGGGCCAAAGAAGAATAATCATAGGCCAGAATCAAAATGCCGCAGCAGCAAGGTGCAATGAAGTTCAGTCAGAGAAAAACATTGCAATCCCAGTAAGTTTTTTTTCTGGCTTTCATTACTACGGTGGTTTATTAAAAAGGACCTGAACTGTTGAAGCTGTGCCCAAAAAAAGGAAGCAGAAGGCAATGGGCTATTCATCAGTATTGCCCTGCTGCTGATCTTTACCATGCCTTGTTCTGCAATCTTGGTAAAAAAGTAGGGCTTTGCTTCCTCATATCAGAACTGTGGCCCCGATGACTGGTGGTCTGAAGATACAGTATGTAAGCAGGTGTAGGATAATAATCCCGGCACGTTGTTCATTCTGCACTTGCATCTTTAGATTTCACTTCAGAACACCACCCTATTCTCATAAAAAGGCCAGTACCATCCATGTATGTGTTCTTATACACTACCTCTTTCCTCTTCACATTACATTACTGCTCATTTTCAGAGAATTACAGGTTACAATTTTACATTTTATAACCGTTTAAGATCAATTTAAATTCTATGTTGTGTATATCTCCTACCTTGTCCTTTACCATCTCCACTCCGATCATCAGTCCTTTTCCACGAACATCTCCAACAATCTCAAACTTATCCCGTAGTTTTGCCAGCTCCTGTAATAAATGGGTTCCAACCACGGCACAGTTATTCTGCAGGCCACCCTCTTCAATAGCCTAGAGAAAAAAGGAATCAAAGGGGTTCTGTTATATGTAACATGGTAACATTATATTGCTTACAGGGACACTGTTATCTTGCCTATTCAGTGTCTGTGTAAAGGGAATTCCCCTCCACTGACCCACTGATATTCACCTTACCAGCGCTCTCCATCACCAACCTCACCAACACACCACACCCCTGCTCCTCCATCCATCCCAGTTGACACCAAAATCCCCAGGGTCAGCTGGTGTTGGACGCTAGGGAAAGTGGTGACATAACTCTCTCCATTATGGGATTTTGCTGTCGCATAGGAGGAGATGACATATTCCACATATGCAGAAGTATTACCGTAGGTGTTTTCACCGGTTGAGACAGCAGAAGAAGATGCGGGGGAGCCCTGTCGAGGTGAAGCAACAGGTTTATTTTAATACCTGGTTGCCTAGCAGCTCATCTCTTATCTTTCCTTTGTTTCCCAGATGTTCTGTTCAGCTGCTGGGGGGGGGGTAATCTGTTACATCTGGATGTGGAGAAGCACGTGGCTCATTGCGCTCCCTGAGAGTACTCAGCTCTGCCTAGAGAAACTAAGTGCTCAAACAGGGCTACCTCTCAGTTCTCCTAGCAGACAAAAGAAATGGTGAGGAATCTGGGGAACGGAGCCACATTTTGGGACAATGTAACATATACTGTATGTGCATGCACAGGTGTTACGTCATCAGTGGCTGCCCAATGGCTCTGGAGGAGCAAAGTGGACCTGGAAAAAGCAGCAGGGCAGATGGTGGTGGCAAGGGACAAAATGGTGGCAATAGTCTGGATCTGCCAGCACTGGAGTAGGGAACACTGGTAGGTAAGTGTGCCATAAAGTGCAAGTATATACTATACATACTTACACATTATAGCAAGATCTCATCCAACTGACTTAAGTTGTGCATATAAAAACACTGAGGCCAAATATACTGTATGCATATATGGTTAGCAACCTCATCTTTGATGACTAGTCTAATGGGTGGAGCTGGGGGG